ACACACCGGGGCCGGGGCCAAGGGGGGAACCAGGGCCGGGGGGGGGATCCAGGGCCGGGGGGGGGGGAACCGATCACTTAATAACAATAAATGTCTTTGAAAAACACAATTTGCTTGAACAAGGAGCAATTTTCTCAATATATTCAAGGACCCACAGAGTTAACAGTAAATAAGAAAGGACTTAAATGTTCCCCTGACTGATCAAGGATATTTTTATGTAATTGGCCCCTTTACGGCTCCTGATATAAAACAAACCACAGTGACACATAAACAACAACAACAATTATAACGTCACTCAGTCGAGTTCGTTCCTCCAACACGAAACCACGAGTGAATTCACCAGATCCAGGTTTTTATCCAGATCAGCAGCAGAGGAGGTTTTGTTTTGTACGTTTGTTCGTCAGCAGGATTACGAAGAAGTGACTCCCCCAGTTTCTGTGAATTTTTTTGTGGAGGGGTGAAACCAATTAAGTTTTTAGGGGCAAATCTAAGAATCTTTTCACATGGTTATATTACAGTTCTGTAAGAAATCCACAAACACGTTTGAAAAAATACAAAACCTTCCTGGATCTGCCCTCAGAGTTCTGTGTAATCCTGCTAAATAAAGTGATGAACAACCTCCTTGTAAAGTATAATAAAAATAGCAGAACGAGTATTTATATTTTTTAAATGCCCCGTGAAATGAAATATACATTTTCTCAGTTTTAATCCCGCCTCTAATGCCACGGAGGAGGTTATGTTTTTCTAGTTAGTTTGCAGGATTACGCAAAAACGACAGAACGGATTACGATGAAACTTGGTACAAGGATGCGACACGAGTCGGGGAAGAAGCCGTTAATTCTTCCTCTTTCTTCAACATGCTGAGATGGAACATTTTACAACATTTCTTTGATTTCTCAGAGAATAATTCATGGATCTTGACATGATTACAGGACCGATATTTATGAGTCTGTGTAATTTGGTGCAGCTCCAAATAAAAATCCAGATCTAGTGAATTTAAATGTGGGTTCATAAGGAGCCTGTAGGGAGGAATGCATTAGTGATTATTAGAGTTGTTTTATAGTTTTCTTGTTATTTGCCAAATAGAAGTCAAAAACAATAATATCATAGTATTTTATTTTACATCCAGATTATTTTCTTTCTTCCCGTTTAATGGTTTCAAATGTTTGGTGACTCATCCGGCCCTCAGGGACGCTCATACATGTTTTCATCCAATGAAACTGCACAGTGGACTCAAACACACGTGGCCTTGTGCCGAGCACTCTTTGATTGTGGTTCGTCCTCTTCCTCCGTTTCATCCCCGTCCACCTTCATCAGTTCAATCCACAGGCGGGGGTGGGGGAAGTCCTTGACATCAGATTCTTTCTGTGCATACGTGATGTAACAGTATTTCTCTTCTGACCTGAAGATTTGACATATTTCAAAGCAACTCTGTCGTTTTTTCCTTTATTTTGTGTTTCGTGCAGCTTCTTACTTTGTTAAATTGACAAGGACGCGTTCGTGTCTTTGGTGAGGACAGTTTAAAAACCAATAAAGACAGAGATGAACGAGCAGAAAGAACCAAAATGAAAATTGGACTCAGGACGTCTGAGCTCTTCTTCCACCGATCAACACGTTTGCTCTTGTTTTTCCAGTGGCAGGCCATTTCTCTGACGGTGATCGAGAAGGTGCAGATAGCCGCCATCATCCTGGGTTCCCTGTTCCTCATCGCCAGCATCTCCTGGCTCATCTGGTCCTCCCTCAGCCCCTCGGCCAAGTGGCAGCGCCAGGACCTGCTCTTCCAGATCTGCTACGGCATGTACGGCTTCATGGACATCGTCTGCATAGGTAAAGGAAAACGTGAAACCTCCAGCAGCGGTGTTCTAAAAAGCCTGAAAGGAGCAGTGGATGAGAACTTCACACAGTGAAAGGATGAGGTGTGGCAGCGTGGAGAGATGCATTATGCAACAAGAGGAGTAGCAAAGAAAACAGGATGTGCTTTGCATCAACAAAAATATTAATAAACATTAGCTGCATTATGCAAGGACAAACAAACATGGTGACAAATGCATGTATTCAGTTAACATTGTGCCGGTTAAGGTCAAGCACTGTTTTAAAAAACTAAATTAGCAGATGGTGCATACGTCGGCCAAACGCTGATGATACCTCCGAGAGCAGGAGACTGTGTTTTTCAGCAGTAACCTGGTCGACTGTTCATGAGTGGCCGTGAGTCGCCTGTGTAAAACAACACAGGGAACAGATGGCGTCAGACTTGTGCTCTGTGATTATTGCCAACTGTGTATTCTCGTCCACAGGCGAGATTGGAGAGCCGCTACCTACGATGGCTGCGGCTCCCGGCCTGTTTTAGAACAGTATTTGACGGAAGGCGGTGGGAATACATGGGCCGTCCTTCACCCTGTTTCCTCTTTCTTTCCCTGCCCAGGCCTCATCATCCACGAGGGATCATCGGTGTATCGAATCTTCAAACGATGGCAGGCCGTTAATCAGCAGTGGAAAGTTCTGAACTACGAGAAATCCAAGGACTTGGGCGACCCGCTGAGCTCCAGCAGTAAGGCGGGGGCCCGCGGCTCTCGCGGGAACCCTCACGGCCTGGCCAGCAGCAGCGGCGGCGGGCGACAGAGCAGGAGGCTAAGAACTATTCTGAACCACCACTGTGGCTACACCATCTTGCACATCCTGAGCCAGCTGAGGCCCAACGACCCGCGGATCAGTGCCGCCGCCAACCGAGAGGTGGTGATGAGGGTCACCACCGTATGAGGCGCACGTGCAGAGGGACAGACCTCGTCTGGGGGGGGGAGGGGCACTGACGGACTTAATGTTGAATAATAAAGACTCATGTAGGCGACAGGTTCCTGAGAGGAGCCGAGCGATGCCCGGAGCATCAACAGACAACACACACCGGAGGATTTCTCCTCTTGTTTCGTACAACAAAAGGAAGCCAGATGCTCCTTTTCAATAATTAAAGAACTGATGAAAATAAGGACGAAAACGCTTTAAAAGACATCAAACGACATTTGTGAGGACGGACAAAAGAGTAAACAGGCTTTATAAGCGAATCCGAGATGATGCGAGGATTTTTCCAGTTTCAATATCAGGATGCACAGAGACATTTTTCTTTTTCTTTATGATCCTCTTGCTTTGATTTGTACTTACTCTTTTTTTTTTTTTTTCTTTTTGTGTTTTTTTACTCGCTTTGATTTTTGTACGGATGTATGATTTTAGAGGAAATCGTGAAACTTCATACCGACATACATTTCCAGGCGACTATGTGTAATGATCTTAAAAATTTCTACGAGCTAATCAATGCTGGTGAATAGACCGAAAACTGAAACCAACCAACCAACACGAGGGCGACACCGAGGACACAACGGAACAATAAGTCATTACAAGTTGAAAAATGAAAAAAAAATATATAAAAACACACAAAATAAAAAAGAGAAATCAGTGAGATTTCAGTGACACTTAAACTTTCTGCAATAAAGATGCGTATGTACATTTCACAGGGAATTTTGCATGGGTATATAATTTTATTCTTCATCACATAACAGAAGCACATGACAGATTTGCTCTACTTCGAATGGTGCTTGCCAAAATAAACACTTTGAAAAAACGTCTGATTTCGTTGCACCAACTTTTTGTCGACGTGACGAACGGCAGCGTGTGTTCAAGCTCTTTCGGCTCAGATACAGATTGTTTGCTGCCGTGTGCTGATTCAGAAAAACCATTGGATTAAAAACGGGGATCGGACGATCTCGTACTAATCGGTCTCACTCGGTCTCTTTTCTTTCCTGTGACTCAGAGCATGTGAGGTTTGACTGTGTCAGAGTGAGGACAATAAAACTGATCAAACCGTTTATTTTATTGTTCACGTGTTTACTGACTGAAGCTCTCCCTGGAGGTGAATGACCTCCACACGTCACCTGATCAGATTAAAGCTGCAACACATCAAGTTAATTCATGGATTCATGGATCCACAGATAATTAACCAGCAACCAATTTGATTGTCATTCAATTATTCCGGTGATTCGAAGCGACTGAACCTCGAGTCCTCTGGTTGCAGCTTCTCCGATGTGATGACTTGAAGCTTTTATATCATCACAAACAACAATTTGTAGGGTTTAGTCACTTCTGCTTGAATAAAAGTACTCGCTTTTAAAAACACTTGGAGTATTGAAAGTTTAAGTACCGTGAAATTAATTCTACTTAAGTAAAGAACATTTACATGAGGATCAACCGCTGCTACCGAAGGCTCAGAGGATGAGACGCTCAGGTGGTTTGTGTTTATCAGTGAGGCACAAACTCAGGCTTTGACGCCCCCTAGTGGTTGTTCATGTTGCTCAGTGTGAAACCATTTCATCTCTTTGTTGGACAGAAACACAAAACACACGTTTCCTCTGCAGCTAGGGGGCGCCACAGCTCCTGCAGCAGGAAGTGACTGTTTGTTTTCCATCCACAGGAGTGTTGAGTCTGTGAACACCATTCACATCATGAGATTTATTTATAATAATAATTATTATATTTATCCAAACACATCAGCACCTTTCACACAGATCAACTTGTCAGTGAATTATTTATTTATTCCTCTATTATAATAATAGTGCAAACAAATAAATAAATACAGTTTCTATTATTTAAATGCACAAATGCCCCTGATGCAAACCAGAAACTACAGAGGCTTTATTTTGAAAGTTGGAGCCGGAAACAAACCATGGTCTTCACTGATGCTTTTATTTTGAAAGCCAAAAATCTTTATGTAGAACATGAAATTGTGTTATTTGATTTTTTTATATATATATATATATATAAGTGTATATATATTTTAATGATAAGATAATAATGAGCAGGTGTGTTTTATTTTGATAGTTTACAAACTAGCCTGGATCAGCTCAGACTTGGTCACATGGTCGAAACCGGAGAAACATCTGAGACTGTGACTTTGTCTTTTGTCCTTTGTCCTCCTCCTCCTCCTCCTCCTCCTCCTGACCTACCTGTCCGGTGAGTCCCAGGTGCGTACACACCTCCTTCTACTCCTTCTCCTCTCAGGGAACAATGTCCAACCTGCTCCCTCCTCTCATTCCTCTGGACACAACAAGGAAACGAGGAGGAGGAGGAGGAAGAGGAGGAGGAAGAAGAGAGGGAGGAGGAGGAGGAGGAAGAGAAGCATGAGACGTTTTACCGGAATCAGGTGAAACAGTGGTGTGTTTGTCTTCTGCTGAGTGAGGAGGAGACACAGAGACAGAGGGACAGAGGGACAGACAGAGGGACAGACAGGTGAGGAAGAAGAAGAAGAAGATGTTGTCCTTCCTGCGCTCAGGTGAGTCTCCTCTCACTGAAAACTAGTGATACATCTGTTTTTTCTTCATATCTCTGTACTTTGATCTTCTCGTTACATTTTGTTGTTTGACTCCATCAAAGATTTATTCTGTGACAGAGTTTCACTGTGATCGTGTGATTGTTGTTTTCCACCGTTTCCTGTCATATAAGCTGCTGTAATGTTAAACACACGTCACAGCTCTGAGACTTATCATCGTTCAGTCCTCTGGTTTTCTGCTCTTTGACTTTTCTGTCATTTCACCTTTAACTTTTCTTTCTATCAAAAGATTTGACTGATATTCTTTCTTTTTTTTAAAATCAAAACTGATCTTTCTTTTGTTTGAATTGTTAATATTTAACTTTGTAACTCTGGAAGTTTAATATAAATAATGTGAACATGATAGATAGATAGATAGATAGATAGATAGACACATGGATAGATAGATAGATAAATAGATAGTTAGACAGATAGATAGATAGATAGATAGTTAGATAGATAGATAGATAGATAGATAAAAAGATAGATAGATAGATAGATAGATAGATAGACACATGGATAGATAGATAGATAAATAGATAGTTAGACAGATAGATAGATAGATAGATAGTTAGATAGATAGATAGATAGATAGATAAAAAGATAGATAGATAGATAGATAGATAGATAGTTAGATAGATAGAYAGACAGATAGATAGATAGATAGATAGATAGATAGATAGATAGATAGATAGACAGATAGACAGATAGATAGATAGCTAGATGTTCACTGGGTCCTCCTGATGACTGAGACACTCAGATCCTGATGATCACCTCAGTGACGGCTGTTTTTCAATAATCCAGTTTAATGAGCTGTTTGCTTCCAGTGAGAGATCCCACACCTGAGAGCATCCACATCTCCTCTCTGCCGCCCAGTTTGCCCGACTATCAGGAGGCCGGACGCACCGCAGCACCCGGTGAGTCTGCCGTCATCCCGTGTGACAAATCCACCCAGCGCTGAGTCAGGCTCCATTTCTCTTACACTCATTATACGAGGAGTTTATCTGTGTTTATATCTCCTGCTCTATATTCTATAAGTTCAGTCCAGAGTCCAGGCTCTGTACGACTCAGAGACTTCTCTGCAGTTGAAGCTCGTAGCTGGATAAGAAAAGCCAGAGTTAACAGTTGATAACCAGCTTCATAGCTCAGGTCATCAGGACGATGTCAGGTTCAGTGAAGCCGGATAAAGAAAACAGATCCTGGATATGTTGAACTCTGCTGAGGACTCCCAGCAGCTGTTAGGGTTAGATGTACAGATGTGCATGAGGACCAGAGCCTGAATCCCTTTTTCACCTTTCCTATATCCCTGGTTCAAAACTTTCTTCATACAAGATCGAGAAAGATTAAGAAACGTCGACTCTCCAGAGGTGAAACTGTCGACAGTTGGTGAAGTCTTAAAAAAAACAAATGAAAATGCTTAAATTGTAGAAAGTGTGTTTTTATTTCTGGTGACAGTTTCACCTCCAGGTCCATTAACCAGCTGCTTGAGACAGTTTCCCATAAACGTCCTCAGCCGCTGCAGGTCGACGGTTGTAGGTGTTAAAAGTTCGATGATTAACTTTTAGGTCAACATGGATGAAAAGTGCTTGTGTGTGTGTTTTTCTACATCGTGCATATTTGTGGGGGATGTTTCACAGTTTCACCAGTGTTCGCGTCACGTTTCAGCTCCAGATGTGTCGGCAGAGAGAGAGTGTGTGAGTGTGATCCAGACGACACACACTCACCGAGGCTCCGCTCCGTACCTCTTCCTCCAGAGGCAGAACAATGACCCTGTTTCTACCACGTACTTCAACCAGAAGGTCCCTGTTCCCGACAACGACAGTGAGGTGACAGAACGGAGGGATGTGTACTGAGAGTGGACATTGTGAAGAGACACTGAGATAATAATATTAATTACTGTTATTTAATGGTGGAGTACTCAGTTGTCACATTTTATTAAAGTAAAAGAAGAAATAAATAGACAAAAACATATTCAAGTTAAAGTACCACATTAGTACTGGCATTTAAATATACCTAGATAAATATAATAAATAAATATATAATAATACAGAATTTGACATCCTCTCCTGCAGACGAGCTTCAGCCTGCGGAAGCTGTGGGCCTTCACCGGGCCGGGCTTTCTCATGAGCATCGCATACCTGGACCCAGGGAACATCGAGTCCGACCTGCAGTCCGGCGCTAAAGCTGGCTTCAAGGTGAGGCTGTGAGATGACAGAGGACAGGTGAACAGCACCACCCTCAGGCAGGGAGGAGGAACAACAAGGAACCACACAAATGGCTTCACTTTTATGACACTGGGCCAAAAACAACGTGACTCTACAAACTGAGGGATTATTTAACGTCACTTTAGAAGATTGAAATGTCTTGTCCGTCCCGGTCCATGAACCTGCTCTGTCCTCAGCTCCTCTGGGTGCTGCTGGGCGCCACCATCATCGGCCTGCTGCTGCAGAGGTTGGCGGCGCGCCTGGGCGTGGTCACGGGGATGCACCTGGCTGAAGTCTGCAACCGCCAGTACCACAAGGTGAGTCTGGGAAATGTCCGATGTGTGAGCAAGCTGGTGAAGCGTCTACAGGAGCCTGCCGACGAGAGGTCAGGGTTTCTATCAGAGAAAACGATCAGCGGGAGCTTTAAACTGAAATCCTGCTTCACCGAAACGTTCTCATTGCACGACCTGCTCAGTTCTTACAGAAGCTGCAAATCCTGGATTATTTAAAGGTCCGGTGTGAAAGATTTAGGTGAAAGGGATCTGTTGAAAGAATTTGAATAGGAAATAATCCTAGTGACGTTTTCTCTGTTTGTTGTTTGTAGAGGTTGTGTTCAAGTAGTTTTATTATTATCATGAGTTAAGGATGTTTATATTAAATAAAGTTTAATTTATCCAGAAAGCAGCAGCTGTTAGATTTACATGTTTACAGTTTGTTTGTTGTTTCTAAAGCGTTGAAGTACTTCCTGTTATTTATGTCGCCATTTTGGATTTCGGCCTCCGATTCTCCATTTTGATCTATTTTCCTCGAGCATCTGGTTTTCTGATTTCTTAACGTTCTCTTGGAAGTTGATTCGATCTGTTTAATACATGACACAATAATCAAATCAATCAAAAATCAAGCATCTAAATTAAGTTTTTACGCAATACGAAAAGTTTTGGTAGAAACTATAAAAGCAAAATGTTTCTTTCTCCTCCTGAAGTTTATGAACAGCAAAAACAATCAAAGAGAAGTTTTTAAATGTGTGAAATGTTTGAAACTGCTGAACTGTCGTCTGTCCAGGTGCCGCGCATCATCCTGTGGTTGATGGTGGAGCTGGCCATCATCGGCTCGGACATGCAGGAAGTCATCGGCTGTGCCATCGCCTTCAACCTTCTCTCCAGCGGCAGGTTCAGTGAACAGACTCAAACATCGACGTGTTGACCGCTGGGCCACGCGGGAGCTTTAACAAGTTCAACATGTTGTGTGTCTCTCTGTGTTCTGACACGTAGGATTCCCCTGTGGGGCGGCGTGCTCATCACCATCGTCGACACCTTCGTCTTCCTCTTCTTGGACAAGTACGGTGCGTCGTGGTCGTTTTCTGACGCGTCGTCACAAACGTCACATGGATCGATGTTCGAGTTAAAGTGAAACGCGTTTTCTTCTCTGCAGGTCTGAGGAAGCTGGAAGCCTTCTTTGGTTTACTCATCACGGTCATGGCCATCACGTTTGGATACGAGGTACGAACATTTAACGTGACACCAGAATGTCTCTCAGTTAAGATCTCACCTCCGCCAATACCTAAATTATTTTATATAAACATCGGAATGTTAAAGAAAGACGATCCTGGATCCGTCCCTGATCCAGATCCACACCTACATTCAACTGGATCCTCCCTGACTCTGTTCACATCCTTCCACCACTTTGGTAAATATCTGCGTTGGTTCCTGAAGTTGATGCACTTCCTCTCCTCCTCTTCCTCCTCCTCCTCCTCCTCCTCAGTATGTGACAGTGCGTCCGGACCAGGGTCAGCTGCTGACGGGGATGTTCGTGCCGTACTGCCAGGGCTGCGGGCCCGTCCAGATGACTCAGGCCGTCGGCATCGTGGGAGCCGTCATCATGCCTCACAACATCTACCTCCACTCCGCTCTCGTCAAGGTGCCGTGAACCCGCCGGATGATCTCGTCAGCGTCACGTCATTTCATTCATGTGTCGTCTCAGTGTCATCATCTCGTCGTCACACGTGTTCTTTCAGTCTCGAGAAGTGGATCGGTCGAACAAGAAGGATGTCAGAGAGGCCAACAAATACTTCTTCATCGAGTCGACCGTCGCCCTCTTTGTCTCTTTCCTCATTAACGTCTTCGTGGTGGCGGTTTTCGCCGAGGCGTTCTACGATCGCACAAACATGGAGGTGGTGAGTGTCGCTCTGTGGAGTTTCATATTGGTGTGATTTTGTTTCGGGGTGGGCTACTGGGCTTGAGCTGTGTTTTTCTTTTTCTTCCAGTACAACGTCTGCAATCATTCAGGAAGTCCACATTCACATCTGTTCCCTCTGGACAATCAAACTCTGGAGGTGGACATCTTTAAAGGAGTGAGTGTTTTTCATGTTTCCCTCAGAAGGTTCCTGTTTTTATTGGCCGAGATATTGGACCTTCTAGTGTTAAATGTTGATTTAAGCAGCTTTAAATTCAAATTTTGATCTTTTCTCATGTTCGTCTGTTGGTTTTACTGAAGCCCCGTGAGACTGGGCTTGTCTTCTGGTGTGTGTGTGTAACTCTGCTGAGTTCGTTTTCATAACTTGATTCTATTTATCGTGCTCGTGTGTGTGTGTGTGTGTGTGTGTGTGTGTGTGTCAGGGAGTGGTGCTGGGCTGTTTCTTTGGCCCAGTGGCGCTCTACATCTGGGCCGTGGGGATCCTCGCAGCTGGTCAGAGCTCCACCATGACTGGAACGTACTCTGGACAGTTTGTTATGGAGGTTAGTCACACACACACACACACACACACACACACACACACACACACACACACACACAGTGGAAATGTTATTGAATTTGAGCCTGTTTATGTAGCTGTCCATTAAAACCTCCTGTGTGAAATCTGAGCGAGGTGCAGGTCGTCGACTGATGTCTTTTCCTGCCCTCAGGGTTTCTTGAACCTGCGCTGGTCTCGTTTCGCTCGGGTGTTGTTGACCCGCTCCATCGCCATCACGCCCACCCTGCTGGTGGCCATCTTCCAGGACGTGCATCAGCTCACGGGCATGAACGACTTCCTCAACGTGCTGCAGAGCATGCAGGTACACAACATAAGTATGCAGTCAGACAGGCACAGGGTAGACAGGATGTAATTGTAGTGCAAACTGAAATCGATTGAGCAGTGAAAGTACTTTACGGCTGATGTGCAGATGTTGATAATGTTTTTCCACAGAATCGTCGGAACAGCAGTAAAATATCTGAATTTACAGATGGAATGAGACAGTGAGTGTTTGTATTGCAGGGAAGGGAGAAGCATCAGTACATAAAGAGAAAATAAAGTATAATGGAACTAATTAAAAAGACGTGTAACAGAACAAAACACTTAAAACACCAGGGAGGGTTCTACTGGTTCTTCTGTTAAGCTTCAGAGCTTCACAGCGTTCTTTCTACTCCGTTAACTTCAGTGATAAGAAGAAACTCAGCTCCTCATGAAATCAAAAGCAAATGAACATTCGTCAAATAAACGCTCTGTTCAGTAGCTTCAACGGTTCCCAAAAATCGCTGAAGGGATTTTTCTGAACCACAATATGTTTGAGAGACAGAGAGAGAGACATAAAAAGAGAGACAGACAGACAGACAGACAGACAGACAGAGAGACAGGACAGTAATTCTACTTCTATTACTCATCTGAATTTGAGAAGAAACTCAAGTTGTCAAATAAATGTCATGGAGTTTAAATGAGGTTGCAGAAAATCAAAAGTACAAATACTTCAAAACTGGACTGAAGAACACTACCTCAGTACTTAATGTAATATTTCATTTTCCTCTCTTCTCCTCTGTCACAGTTGCCGTTCGCCCTCATTCCCATCCTCACGTTCACCAGTCTGCCTTCTCTCATGAACGAGTTTGCCAACGGACTGTGAGTTTCACCCCAGAGTGAAATAATCCTCCACTCGTTTCTTTTTTTACTCTTTTTACACCCGGGCCTTCTTCTCTCTGCAGCGTGTACAAGATCGGCGGGGGGGCGGTGATCCTGCTCGTCTGCTCCATCAACATGTACTTCGTTGTGGTCTACGTGACGACTCTGGACAGCGTTTGGCTCTACGTGCTGGCAGCGCTGCTCTCTGTGGCATACCTGACATTTGTGGGATATTTGGTAGGTGACTCTGGGCCGAGAGGATTGAGCGGCGAACCGGAAACTTGTTGAACTAGAACCTGGAGCGACTTAATCTTCAACTTGTCAGGCAGTTAACGATCTCACCTCGACTGAGGTTTAGACCAACTCACTTGCTTTCTAAAATATTCTGTTTTTCAAAAATCTTTGAGAATCCAAAACTTCTGTCTCGATTTTAAAACTACAGGAAATCTGATTTACCTGATATTTCCCTCCGGGAAGGAGTTTTATGTTTTCATCAGCATTTGTTCATCTGTTTGTTTTGTGTGTAATCATGCAAACTATCAGACAGACAATCATTCCTTGTGTGTGTGTGTGTGTGTGTGCACTGCAGGCGTGGCTGTGCCTGATCGCTCTGGGAGTTTCTTTTCTGGATCCGACCACACGGAGAGCAAACGACACCACCATCCTGATCGAGCAGCAGCCGGAGTTCGATTCCTGAACCACGTGTGTGCGTGGACGTTCGTCACAAAGGTGCAGCTGTGAACCACCTGACCGTTTGACCACACGGTGCTGAATTATTTATAAAAGACGTCTCTTCAAGTGTCAGACGGTAATTTTGTTGTGATTTTACAAATAGTAACACAAATGATATTCATTTATCAATTACCGTCACACAAAGGCTGTAAACAGAATTACATTTCAATAGGTTTAATATCTTGGGGCGACCAGAAGTTTTTTAGGAACTCCACATCCAGTGTTTCCAAAAACAAGATGAGCACCTTCCGAGCGATTTCTATGAACTCAGCGTATCTGTCAGTGAATCTGTGACCAATCCAATAACATCAGGTTCTAGTGAATTTAAATGTTTTCATTGTTTTTTACAACAATTATTATTGGTTTTCTTCTCTTATTGGAAATCAACACTAATTTACTTGTTCGTTTTAATTTATTTAACGTGACCATGATAAACCATGATGAACAAAACGGCTGCTCGCAGCACAAAGGAAGGGACATTCTTCAGAAAGTACCCAGTGTACAAATACCTTGTACTGACTACGATGCTGCCGCCTACATTTATGTGACCTAGTTCTTTTCAAATGATTTGTTACTGAACGTTTACTGGATCTGATGCTGACGGACTGAAGCTCTGCACGAAGAGAAATCTCCTGACTTTATTTTACAAGGATTGAACTTTACCTCATTACGGGATTTGTGAGGAAATAGAACTCAGTGTTTTTGAAGCCCTGCAGATACTCTGTGTGTGTGTGTGTCTGTGTGTGTGTGTGTCTGTGTGTGTGTAGTTTCTCTTTTGGTCACAGGGAGGCAGCGGAGGCCACAGCAGAGAATCCTCAGCTCCAGCCTCAACCACTGGAACTGTACAACACATTTTAAATACCATGGTGTGTTACATCACGTGTTGTTGTATTGTAGAAGTATCTGCAGTGACGGGACTCGTCTGTGATGTTCTGACCGTACGTTCAGCTGCTGGTTTGTCTGAGCAGTCGCAGCGATTGTGCAACTGCAAATGAGCACCGCTGGTTCCAGTTCCGCTCGAATTCCAGTCCTGAAGAGCCTCAGCCTCTGCGTGGTGAGGTGAAGTGGACGGACGGGTTTTTCTTTGCATTGTGGCGGGGAACTTTTATTTTTCTCTCCCTCCCCTCCCTGTCATGGAGGCAGAGTTATGTAAGAGCTGAGGGAGAGTCTTCCCACCGCCCCTCTCTGTTTTTGTTTTTCTCAATGAGCCAATGTCTCCCTGCCGAGGCCTCACAGCCTGTCCAGTAGGCCCCTTTCCTGGAAACACTGCCTAGGAGAGGCCACTCAGGGGCAGGCCTGCAAGGCGAGAGGAGGAGGAGGAGGAGGAGGAGGTGGTGGTGGTGGTGGGGGGGGGGCTCTTCCAGCAAATCACATGACTGTAGACCCTCCAGTCCCGGCCCTACATGAGGCGCAGATGCTGTGAGCACATTTCAGCAGCTAGTTTGTCATCAGCAGGACTGGAAGTGGCTGATGCATGGCAGCGTGCATGAGGCTGTAAGTAGAAGCTGAGGGTTCCTGGGTGTGAAATGTAGAAGTAGAACCACAACATCTGATGGATGGACTCAGTGTGTGTTTGTGTGTGTGTGTGTGTGTGTGTGTGTGTGTGTGTTAGTGTCATTTTTATGCTCTTTTATTTCAAACTGTCAACACCACAGATTTTTTTACAGTGCAGTATAACTTGATGAACAGTGTTTTCTTTTGCTAGTTGAATAATCTTTCTGAATCAAGGACGATGGTTTGGCCCCGGGGCCTCGAGATATTTACGACTGATTCATGAAGCTGCTCCCACACACTCATGTGTTTTTACTGTATATTCAGCTCATGACTTGTCACGGATTAACAGAGTTGTTGATTTGTTTCTGCAAATGGACATGTTGGGACTGTGGGACAGTTGATTTAAAGAGATGTGTTAATAATCATTAACTGTGTCATCGTGCTGCAAACAAACGATTCAGCCTGAACGAACTCAATAAAGCGGAACAGAGAATTACACCTGCTGCACGTCACAAATGATCACATTTGTTTTCTTTTCCTCTCGCTCTCTAAAAATGTAACCCTGATGAAGATCAGGTCTCATGTTGCAATGTGTGATTTACTTCTTCTTTTACCTGGAGGTGTTTCCTCTGCGATTCATTGTTTATGTTCCTGGATGTCCGTCCGTCCGTCCCACTCTCAAGAGCAACTTCAGATTTGGTAAAAATATTCACTTAGACTCCAGAATGAACTGATTTCATTTTAGTGGTTAAAGGGCAAAGACAAGGTCACAGACGCCTCACAAAGCACATTGTTTGCCTTGTGAACACAATATCTCCAAAACTCCATCAGGGAATCCTCTCACCTTTGGCACACACACGTTCACGTGGAGGGAAAGATAGACTGATTTGATTTCGGTGGCCGGAGGTCAAAGGTCAGATCAAGTGTTTGGCCTGTGTGTGACACCTCACGACGGCCTTGTGGGAATCTCTTCAACTTAGAATCAAAGAAGAACTGATTAGTTGTCAAAGGTAAAAGTCACAATGTGATAGAACTGTGGAAAATACAGCTTTTTTTTTTTTTTACATGCATGTGCGTTAGTTCTGTAACAGTCGACTGATGGAAGATGCATGTACCTTTTATTAGAAGCTGCTGTTTGAAGTCACATGTTCTCGGGGCAGATTTTCCAGACGTACGAGTGCAGCAGCCTGCGACGCTCGGCCCGGGCCTTTCTTCCTTTGCACCATTTGACCCCTTGGCTCTTTCTGTCGGTCCGTCCGTCTTCTCCGAGGAATGCACATGTAGAAGAGGACAAGAAGCACCAGAGAGCAGGCGAAGATAATGAATTTCAAGTTGATTTAGTAAACAGCATCAGCTTTAAAGCCGCGTGACATTTTCCAGCTGTGCGGTCTGTGCTTATTTTGTATATATTTTTACACAGATCTGTCAGTGCTGCCTTAAAATGTCCGACACCAGGAATGCAAACAGCGGAGCCATTCCTGTTTATGCTTCACATTGTGGCCACTGTGGGCACCGGCTGAGCTCGTGGTGTAATGGGCCCACATGTGTTTGGAAGCTGAACTGTGCAGTTATTCCTTTATTAACATGTTTACTTTGATTGTTCCTTTGTTTTCTTCACTTCAACAGTCTCACGCACGTATGTTACTCTACCAGGGGAGGAAGTACTCAAACATTATACTCAAGTAAAAGCACAAATAAACAGACAGAAATTGTAAAGTTAAAGTAACACATTCACTCTTTTACTATTAATAGTTAGAGTTTCTTGCTGTGAGTAATCCATGACGTCATTGTGTTCGAGTCTTTCAGGTGTTTCTTCTTCACCTGTGTTGCTGCAGCTGCAGGAGGCGGAGTCTAGTGTTACCTGCTCACTCTGACTGGATCAGTGGATCATTTCCAAATATAAAAAAAAATACATGGTAGAGTAGAAAGTACAGATATCTGCTGATTTATATGTAAAAGCAAAAAAGTACTTGACAATAAATGTACTTAAGTAAAGTACAAATACATGAAAAATGTACTTAAGTACAGTGACAAAGTAAATATACTTTGTTAAATTCCACCACTGGTAACTACACAAACACACAAATTGTCCAAGTTACTGGTCTGCAGTGGAGTAAGTACTCAAACATTTTACTCATATTAAGTACAAATAAGGAGTTTAAATACATAATACTAAAGTAAACATACAACTTAAGGTTTTTTATTGAGACAAAAGTAATTATTTGCTTTTGAATATAATTAAAGTATTTAAATTTAAAGTTCTTGCCAAGTACATACAAGATATTTGCTGATATTTGTAGTGGAGTAAAATTGAAATGTACCTGAAAACTCATCGAATTAAATTAAATGTAACAGCAACTTTTCAAGGGGGTTCCTGATTATTTACTGGGTTTAGATGCAAATAATGACAATTTTTAGTCTAAATGGATTCTCTGTGTTCCACGATGCCCTGCAGCGTTTATCATGCAAAACAAAGTGAGAGATTAGTTTGACAGTCACTGGAGGGGAGTGAAAGGGAGAAAGAAAGAGGTTGGGTTTCTCTCCACACATTAAGTTCTGCTGAGGAACGGCTCTAACACGTTCTGTCTGGACTTCTCACAAACCCTCCAGATGTGGACATGTTCAGTGGAGACTGAGAGAAACTGGAGACTTCCTCTACACAGTTACATGCAGTACAGGTACTGTATAAGTACTTTACTGTCAGTCCCCCTGTAGTCAAAGCTGTTCACGAACATCGTGCTTTGCTATTAACGTTGTGTTTTTGTGCGGTGCTTAAAAATGCTAAATAAAGGAACTTAAAACAATGCATGTGCAGATATCTCTAAACCACAATACTGGTGCACCACACTGAGTGTTTCTGGTAACAAATACAGTATACATGTGAGTGTGTGTGTGGTCCAGGTATTACTCATGTTGCACATGTGTTTACACAGTCGAGACATAAAGTAAGTCCTTAAAACGTAAATCATGAAGATGTGTTTTAAGGCAGAAGTTAGTGTTGGGCAAATAGTAACTATAGTCACAGATGTGAGTTGTGGTTTGGTTAAAGTTGAATTCTTCCTGGTTAATGTTAATGACGTGGTTAAGTTAGAACGGACATCAATGCAAAGTGTTGCTGAGGAAAGTTTCTCTCTTTCTGTGGGCTTCAGTTTGGACCTGGTCTCAGGTTTAGGTTAGAGTTCGAGTCAGGCATTTAGTTACGATGGTTAAGGTGAAGGGGCTGGCGAATGTCTTATGTCAATGAGTGTCCTCACTAAGTACAAACAAGAGTGTGCATGTGTTTGTGCGTGTGCGTGTGTGTGTGTGTGTGTGTGCTCATTTACCTTCTCTGTTGTTTGGTCTTTATTTTTTCTCTCAATAGAAAAACAAAGAAAAAACAAAATCTTCACAGAAGGAAAGACAAGCTAATAATAATAATAACACTAATAATAAATAATAATAATAATAATAATAGTTCATGACGTCATATTGCGTACTAAATCAGTTTCTTCGTACTTACGATGATCGAGTTGCGGGGGCGACCGCTCGCGTGTTTATTATTTACCGATGTGTTTATCGAACTGCGGGACGTGATTGGCGGGAGCAGCGCTGGAATGTGTTCGCTGCGGAGCGTGCGGGACAGGGAGGAATGCCTCGGGGCCACGCCCCCTCTGCCTTCCCCGCCGTCCAATCAGGGCGTGCGGACGGTTTCCAGGCGCCCGCGGAGTCGCGACCGTAGAAAAACAAAACCGCGGAAAACAAAAAAAAACCCGCGTCGTTTTTTTTTCCCACCGCGCACCGGGACCCCGCGCTCCGCTGCCCCTCGCACCGGGGACCCCGCGCCGGCCGCCGACCGTCGGTGGTTTCCCGCCGCCTCGCGCGGCCTCTCGGGGCGGTGTTGTTTATGTGTAGTACCGGGGGGCTTGAAACCGACCGCGCTTGCCCCATTTCCTCGGTTGTTTTCCTCTCGCCTGGATTCTCCATGTTGTTGGGCTGAAGTGACGGGACCGCGGGGGCAGCTCGGCGGGGACAGTTGGCGGTAAACCCGGGACCAAGGAGCGGACAGAGACTCCCCTGAACCAGGTGCCTTACCTCCCCCTCTAGGCGGTGGACCCCCCCCCCCCCCCCCCCCCAGAGAAGAAGAAGAAGAAGAAGGTGAAGAACGAGAAGAAGAAGGAGGAATAAAGACGCACAGGAACTAGACGGATCCACCAGTGACCTCCGTGTCAGAATAAAACCAATGCGGGATGCCCGGCAGTGCCCCCGGACTGGATTTGAGGATTGTGAGGGCTCCGTGATTGTCCGATGGAAAGTTCTGTTATCACCCAAGTGCAGAAAGAAGACGTCCAAGTGTCAGAGAAAACAGGTGAGACCTCCGAATAATGGTCGCTGTGTTGAGGAAGCCTCGCGGAGTTTGGGTTCCTCTCCGAGTGTGTTGACGTGTTGAGGAAGCCCGGTTCGCGTTGGGCTCCTCTCCGAATAATAATGGTCCACGTTAGAGAAGCCCGGCTCGCTTCTCCGAATCGCGGTTGTTGTTTTGAAGAAACGCGATCGATTGTTCGGTTCCCTTCCCGAATAATGTTCAGTGTTGCAGAAAACGGCTTCCTTTGGATTCCTCTCCGAATAATGGTCGGTGTGTTGAGGAAGCCCACAGGGCTTGGGTTCTTCTTTGGCTGTTCAGGAAGCCATGAGCGTGCGGTATCTGCTCCGGGCATAGGTCGGTGTTTTGAGTGTTTTGGTTCTTCTCCGAATAACGATCGGTATGTTGAGGAAACCTACGGAGTTTGGGCTCCTCTCCGAATAATGGTTCATGTTACGGAACCCTGGTTT